TTACCCAACCCCCTGCTTACAGCTGTACCTGATGGACTCTGCATCTCCTTAGAATGAAACTACCTCCTCCTTCAGGCTGTCCTATATGCTTGGATTTCACAGCATCCCGCAGCAAGAAGGCTGTGCACTGAGCAGACTCAGCAGGTGGTGGATCACCTGCAGCAACCCTGTGGTGCCTGTACTTCAGTGGGCAGCAGCATGGGGTGGAGGTATGTGTCCCCACAGAAACATGCTGGAGCTGCAGGGATTAGCAGCCAGAGCTGCACATTGGATAGAGAAGCTGCAAAACAAGCAGGCAGGCAGCAATGGTGCTAACCCTGAACAAGGTGGAAGGAGCACAGGCAGTGCCACGCTGGGAAAGGCAGCCAGGGAGCATGCATCAGGCCCCATGCTGCAGCAGAATCACTATGTGCTGTCCCCACAGTTCCTGTGGCAAAGGACAAGAAGGAATGAAGCCCAGGAGACCTTACCCCATCATCAGGTCCCTAACTGGTGGCTAAGACAAGTCAGACTCCTAGAAACGTGAGATAGGAGTCTCTGCCACACAAGTCCCACTTCTGCAGGAGCAGTGCCATCCTGGTGCTGCCATCTCACCAGGCCAGGCAGGCAGGTGGTGTCTCACGCTGCTGAGCAGCTTCGTGCTCGTCCCTCCCTCTGGTCCATAGCAGCAGAAGCAGCCTCTTGGCTGCTGCTGCAATACAGCAGTGAGTTGTGCCATTCCTGTTTCTTACCACCCACAGAATGGTGAGAGCAGAAGGGGCAGAAAAACAGACAAGAAGCTTTGAACATCTGCAGCTGATACCAAACAAAAACGTACACGGTGGGAGGAATCAATCCTAGCAGATGAAGGCAAGGGAGTACGAGCTAAGATGCAGGCATTGTATTATGCAGAACATTAATGCCTGCATCTTAGTTCCCTTGTTATTCCCTTACATCTGATTGCTACGGATGATGCCTTTTCCTCTGCCAAGGACCATAAAACAAGAGCAAAGGCCACTGTCTGTCTTACTGCACTGCGGTGCACGTGTGGAGAGAATAAAAGCAAAGGAAGGTCACTCAAACAAGTGAGAAAGAGGAGACCACAGAGAAACACAACTGCTCCCAGCTGCTGGAGAGGAGGGTCAACTGGTCATTAATCCTGCAGCCAAGAAACCACTCAAAGGGCTGAAGCACACTGAGATTTTACCTCCTGTGGGTTTCTGGTACACAGTGCCAACTCTCTCTTCCTACCATGCCTGCAGCCTCTCCCTCCTGCATCTGCCTGGAGCACACAGTGATGCTCTCCAAAGCCTTTCTGACATGGGACAGAGCTGGGAGCACCATGAGCCTGCAGAGGGGCTGAAGGCTGCTCCTCCCCATAGCCACCACCTGCAAAGGACCTGGGTGGTAGCCAGCAGGAACTGCAGCCTGCTGAACAGGAGACCAGACCCTGCCCTAGTACTGGGGCAAAGAACACAATGCCTGGTGTGGGGCGAACAATTTACAGCATGGTGCTGATTTATTACCTTGCTTGCAAAAGTTCACTCATTACAAAGCGATGTAAAGAAACCTGTCTTCCATCATGGCACCAGAACAAGGGACTGGCTCCCTTACAGATGCCCACTCTCTCCTCATAGTTTGAATGAATGCTGTTGTCTGCTATCAGGCACCCTGCTGAAAGGCACAGAAAAATCCCTGAAGCTTTGCAATGGTGAATGCCATTCCTCAGCATGACCACCAGCAGGGGCGAGGTGAAACACGTGTAGAAGGATAGGATACAGCTGAAAGGATCAGGAAGAGAAGCTGACAGCACAGCTGTCCTTGCTGCCACCATCATATCTCTGAAACCTCTCTGCCTCCACCACAACCTGGAGTGCCAGACAGGTAGGTTCACAGCAGCTCAGCCACAGCTGATGGCCATTATTCATTCGAACAGCTCCTCTTGGGGACGGGAACCATGTACTGCACAGGGAGGTGGTGGGAGTCACCATCCCTGGAGGTGCTGAAGAGCCATGGAGATGTGGCACTTTGGGATGTGGTCAGCAGGCACGCTGGGGATGGGCTGGGTTTGTCCTTCAAATCCTATCATTTCAGTGGGGCACAGCTTGAAAAAGTTGTCCTGGAAGTGCCTGCACACACGTTCCTGCACACTGCTTAGGCAGCAGCATCCTGCAGTTGTTCTGCAGGGACCAAAGACTCTGAGAAAGAACTAGCACTATTACAGCGAAATCAGAACTGGGTAGAAGAATGTAACCCCTTCCACACCTTGCAGAAAATATTTATTTGTATTTTTTGAAGCTGAGGTGTTCCTGGACCCAAATGCTTTGTCCTGACAGAGCCTTGCAGCACAGGGGAGTAAAATCCTCACAGCAGCTCCATCCTGGCCAGGCTTTATCCCACCAGATGTGCTGTGGAGAGGAAGCAGGGGCACACATTGCATTAAACAAAACGGTATAATGCAAACAAAGTCCTGTGTTTCATGACACAGCTGTGCCAGTGCAAGGCTCCATCTGCTGCTCTTGCCAGTCAAGTAGGCTGTCACCATGGAATGGCAGAATGGTTGGGTAGGAGGGACGTTGTGTCCAGCAGCTTGCCACCCCTACCTCAGGCTGCTCAGGGCTCATCCAGTCTTTGTTTTGAGCACCGCCAGGGATGGAGGACCCCACATATCTGCAGGCAGCCTATGCCAGTGCCTCACCACCCTCTGGGTAAACAATTTCCCCCTGACAACTCACCTAAATCTCTGCTTTTAGTTTAAAGGCATTCTTCCTTGTCCTGTCACTCTCTGCCTATGTAAAAAAGTTGCTCTGCCTCCCGCTTACAAGCTCCCCTTAGGTACTGGAAGGTGTTTGCAAGGTGAGAGCTGGATATACAGGCAGAGGAGCCTGACTACACAAACTACACAACTCCAGTGTGCCACCAAGTTAATGTTTCCAATCCCAATCACGAGGTTACTGCAGGCAGAAGGCAGGGGCTGCCAGCAACCAGTCTTCTGTTGGGGCAGGCAGACCAAGCTGTGCCTAGGAAGAGAAGGGGAGTAGCAGCAGGTGAAGGGAAGAGTTCCCATAGCAGCCTTCACAGCACCTTACTGTGCTGTTCTGAACACACAGCGCTGTGTAGGACAGATCCCAGAAGACAATTCCTTCCAGTTTTGCTTGCCCTCATGCCTAAATGAAGATTCCTCCCTTCTCAACTCTGAGAAAGCACTCTCACTTGCAGAGAGCTGGCCTCCTTGTTCTGCTGCAGCTCCCACTGCAGGGAGCACAGGTTTTACGAGGAGTGGCTGAAGGAGCTGGGATTGCTCAGTCTGGAGAAGAGGAGGCTCAGGGAAGACCTTATTGCTGTCTATAACTACCTGAAGGGAACTGGGGGTCGGCCTCTTCTCTTGTGTAACTGGTGAAAGGACTAGAGGGAATGGTTTCAAGCTGCACCAGGGGAGATTTAGACTGGACGTTAGGAAATACTACTTCTCTGAAAGAGAGAGCAGGCAGTGGAATGGGCTGCCCAGGGAGGTGGTAGAGTCACCAACCCTGGAGGTGTTTAAGGAACGTTTGGATGTTGTGTTGAGGGCCATGGTTTAGTGAGTACTGTTGGTGATAGGTGGATGGTGGGACTGGATGATCCTGTGGGTCCTTTCCAACCTTGGTGATTTTGTGGTTCTGTGACTTCAGCATGAGGTCCCTCTGAAGGGCATACAGTCTGCTGCTTTGAAGCCTGCTGAATGTAATGCTGGCAAACATGTGGCTCAGGCTGTGGGTCTGCTATGGCAGCATGTACACAGCCTGAGCATCCTCTTCATCTTTACTGCCTACCTCACAGTCTCCAGAGCTTGAAGCAAGGGTTTGGTGCTCCTCTTCATTTGCTGCCCACAGGTCTTCTGCAATTTCAGTGCTTTCCCTGGCTGAGCCCAGCAGGGCTTGAGTCCCTGGAGAAAGGAAGCTGCTTTGTTCCTCCCCTATGATGACCTTGCAAGCTATTCCTATCCCCAGCAGTGACTGCCCCACTGGCATGCTGTGTAAATGGATGCTGGACCAGCTGAAGGTGTAGAGCTTCACTTGGTGTGTCCCAGGAGCATGGATCTACAGCTTCAAGTTTTGGAGTTGCAGTTGTTAAACTGGACATAGCGTGAGGTTGTCTGAAGAGTGAGAGCACATGGTGAGGTCACTGTCCATGACAAGAAGGACTTCTTGGAAGTACCATGAAGTCTTTCCACAGCAAACAAGCTCATGTGCACATACAGAACAGGCAGTCAGGCACTGGAGACACAGTGCTGCAAGCTGAATTAACAAGAATTAACAAGTGCTAACAATTCAGAGGAGATTCAGGCTGAGTATTAGGAAAATTTACTTCTCTGAAGGAGTGGCACGGCGCTGGCACAGGCTGCCCAGGGAGGTGATGAAGTGACCATCCCTGGAAGCATTCAAGGAACATGCCATTGAGACACAGTCTGTGGGTATGCAGGGGTGGGCTGTGGTAAGACTCAGTTATCTTAGTGGTCTATTCCAAACTTAGCAGTTCAGTGATTGTAAGTATCACAGCTGATTAGTTACATCTGCTGGCTTTCTTCCCTGCTGGCAGTGTTACTCCTAGCCTCCTTGCCAAGTCACTTCTGCAATCTTTGCTATGGGCCAGAAGAGGCACCTGCGGGAGCAGGCAGAACTTAGAGGATCGCAGAATCACAGAATCACCAAGGTTGGAAAAGACCTTCAAGGTCATCCAGTCCAACCGTCCACTGATCACCAATAGCTGTCACTACACCACGTCCTTCAACACAAAACCCAACCGTTCGTTCCTTGAACAAATTGGATGGAGCTTAGCAGCACTCCTTAGGGACAGTATTGGTCTGCTGTGAAATGTGGAGGCTGGCGGCCCTGCATGCGGCAGGAGGGTTGGAGATTCATGATCCTCGATGTCCCTTCCAACCCTGGCCGTTCTGCAATTCTGTGATTCTGCGACAGGAAGAGCTTGCAGCTCTCTAAGGAGAGCGTGTTTGCAAGCTAGCATCACGAACGGACCCAAGGATGTCGGAGCGGGACGCCATCAAGCGTCATCCTGGAGACCCGCGACCGCAGCTGCCGCCACGCGCTCAGCTCCACGAGTGGCGCGGCAGCGCCGGCGCGCCGCGCCCTGATTGGCTGAGGGAAGGGCGGGCTCCTCCCCCCCGGCGCCGCCGGTGACGTCATCACGCAGCGTCGGACGTCATACGGCGACGCGCGGGTCGGGCCGGTCCCACCCCGCCATGGCCGGAGCTGCGGGTGCGTCCCGGGGCCGCGGGTGCCGCGCTCGGCTCGGTTCGGCCCGGCCCGGCTCGGGGGGCGGCGCGGCGCGTTGGC